AAATTCAAGGTTTATGATTCTTGGTTCTTAAGCATGTCAAACACAAAAACTCAACCAAATGACCATTTATGAACGTAGAAACGACCTATATGAACATTCTAGTCATTAGATATATCTAAGGGCTTACCTCAAAGCGTAGGGGAGGTTTTGAAGATTTTCCGGCGAAATTTCCGGCGACTCTTTCTCACTGCTCCGGCGACTTCTCACAGAGCTGTCAACACCAGTGTATTCTCCTCTCTCAGAACAACAGAATAGGATGAAGAATTATAGACTTTGGTGGAGAAATGGGAGAATTGGCTCTCTTTAAATAGGCCAGTGAAGAAGAAGAAGACACAGGAGTTCCTTGATTGAGCTGATTCGTATTTTTGGAATCGGCGTAATTGAACAGGGCGCCGTTTGGTGTGTCCTCTGATTAGGACTAATTTTAGTCCTAGTTGGGGTACACTTTTTGGTTCAACTTTCTCCAATTTGAAATCCGATTGAACCGTTGGGGTCAGACAGTCAAACTCTACACAACGATATAATTTTTATTAATTATTGACAAACTTTAGAATTTATTTATTTTTGGGTCCTTCTCAGTAATTAATTAATTATCAATTAATTAATACTGATAGGCCTATTTTCGGGGCGTTAAAAAGGGTGCTCAACATCCATGAGTAAAGTATGGTGGGCCGAATAATATGATCAAGTGATGAGCTAAGCCCAACCCACTAATCAGATCGCACAATGCATTGAAAGGCGATTCCACTGATCATGGGTAATTAGCCAATTAACTTGATATTGAAGCGCACGAATTATATACCAAATAAACAATGATGTTAGGCTATAAATAGGAGGCATTTTTCTCCATTGTCACCTAGACTGAAACAAGCTAATATAAATATACAAAAGTTATACATTCAACCTGTATTATTCTTATTTATATATAAGTTCTTCGTGCCACCATAGTTGTTGGACTAAATCTCAACACTGGTGCTTTAATTGAGAGATATTGACTCTGAGAAAGATACTATGAAAATATGGATGGGTGAAGAACAATGAATTCTAAACGTAATGTTGCCAACTCACAGTAGTCGTCCGCCGGGGCAAGGATGTATGAACAACAAGCCCTCGTTCAAACCAATGGGCTAGAAATGGCTCTGAACAATATCGATGACATGATGGCGAATGTCATGGAAAAGTTGAAGCGAGACCTACCAGGTCCTTCTAGGATCCCACGTGACCTGGTTAGACAGACACGTCAGATCCTAGGGACGGCCGGAGGGCAATCTTGTCATATTTTGCATGAGCTTCGTAACCTTGAGGAGATTGAAAGGGAAAGGGAGGAGATTGATAGACGCTTGGAAGAGGAGTTAGCTCGGAACAATATGGATAATCGCAATAGACCCCAGACAACAAATAGGGCGTCGGTAGGACTCTGGGCTACTAGCCAGCCACATAATGTAAAGACTAGGAACCCGAGGGTTATGTTCTAATATAGGGAAAAGAGAAAAGAGCCAGTCAAACAAAGGCGGGAAGTTTGCCAAGTCATATGAAGGCATGCGGTTTTGCGCCCGAGTACTTATAAGCTCATGAACCCCCAAAGGGGAAGGAAATATATAGAACTTGGAATGTTGAACACTTGGTTAGGTTTTATAAGTAAATCCAATGTAACCCTTCATTATTAATTACTCCCTCCGTTCGGGAATGATGTTCCCGGTTTGACTTTTCCTCATTTTTAAGAGGGCTTGAAAAGGGCTATAGAATGACTAAAATACCCTTGTTTAAATAATGGGGGAAGGGGGGTAGTAACCTGGCCAAGAATGAAGAAGTGGAATGCATTATTTATAATCATTACTTAATGTATGGGTATATTACATCAAATCACAACTTATATCACAAAAATATCCAAAATTAATTCACATTCCCTCCTATATTTTTTATCACCTGCCCAAAAAAGCTCTAAAACCCATTCAAAGGGTTTATTACAACCATTTAAACCCCCCAGAAAATTTCCTTCTTTAGTAGCCCCTTCTTTTCTTCATCATGCTTTTCGCCTCCTCTTCTTCTTCTTCATTCCCTTCTTCATTTCCTTCCTTTTTCTTTTTACCTCTTTCATTCCCTTCCTTGCTGTGCAATATTTCCCTGCATATATAAAACATAATGAACCGTGAGATTAACATGAAGAACTTGGACAACAACACAAGGCAACTCATTAGTGATGTACTACTATCACATTCAAAATAGAATCCATACGGTTCATTCTCAACTCAGTATGGGCAGATTACCAAACTTGCTTCAAACTTTAAAGTTTCTAGGAAAACTGTCAGTAAAATCTGAGCAATTGCAAAGAAACAATTAGAGCAGGGGGCTGCCATTGATGTGAGTAACAAGATTGCAGGAAATAGTGTGAGAAAGAGGGCTGTTACGGATTTAAAAGTTGTTGCAGACACTCCCTTGAGGAAGAGGACTAATCTGAGAGCATTAGCAGCAGCAATTGGGAAGCCTAAGTCAACAGTTCATGAGTGGGTTAAAAGAGGTATGCTTAGGAGCCATTCTAATGCTATCAAACCATACTTAACTGATGCAAATAAGATCACAAGGCTGAGGTTCTGTTTAGATCATGTTGACCCTTACAACATGGGCAGTATGCCTAAGTTTAAAACATTTAACAATGTTTTACACATTGATGAGGAGTGGTTCTTTATGTCTAAAACTTCACAGAGGTTTTACCTCCTTCCAGATGAAGCAGACCCTTACAGAGCATGTAAATAAAAAAGATTCATAGCCAAAGTCATGTTCTTATGTGTGGTTGGGAGACCACTTCTTGGGGAGAATGAAGAGGTGTTGTGGGATGGGAAAGTGGGGATATTTCATTTCACAGAAAGAGTCAAAGCTAAAAGGAACAGCAAGAACAGGGCAAAAGGGGAGGTGGAGGTGAATGTAATCACCAGTGTTACCAAACAAATACCAAAAGATATGCTAATCAATAAAGTCATTCCAGCTATCCAAGAGAAATGGCCATCACAGTTATCCAAAGAAATACACATTCAGTAAGATATTGCAAGGCCACACATCCAAGAAATAGACTCAGACTTTGTGGTAGCAGGTAACACCAATGGATTTCACATCACTCTAGGTAATCAACCCCCCAACTCCCCTGACCTAAATGTGTTGGACCTTGGATTTTTCAGAGCAATTCAGTCTTTAAAAGAGTAATGTGCTCTAAACACAGTAACTGAATTATTAGAGGTAGTGGAAGGAGCATATAGTTCTCTAAGGCCTGAAACCCTAAACAAGGTGTGGTTGAGTTATCAGCAAGTATTAACTAAAGTCATGGAAGGTGAAGGAGATAACTACAGGCTGCCACATATGGGGAAAGACAGTCTAGCTGTAACACCCTAATCCGTCCAGGTCTGCAGCCCCTTTCGGACTAAAGTATTAACTTGGTAATCGTCAAAATTTAAAACATTTCAAACACTTTTATTTATCACAATAATATTTTTCATAATATAACAGTACGGAGTTTTCAATATTGCGGAAGCTTTACAAATCATAATCACAAACATAATTTATTTTTGTATTTCAATTCAAAACCATCACATCCATTCCGACAATCTCGCCTCCTTCTGCCTCCAGGATCACGTCACATTATTCTTTCTATTAACCTGCGTGTAGCAAATAAAAAATACTACACGCTCAGCGGTAAAGCTGAGTAAGCATATCTAATGCGTCGAACATCCATATAAACTGAATCTGAATTCACAATGAATTCATTTGATATCATGCACATAATATTCAGTTCAGATATTCAATAATCAATATTCAATTTTCAACATTCATTATTCAATCATTCAATATGTATATTCATCATTCATATACAACATTTTTATTCATCATTCATTATACAATATTCATCATTTATTTGTCAAAAACATTTTTTTTATGTCCAGAAATCATATTCATATTGATTATAATTGATTGGTACCAAAAATAGGATTTAATGGTTCAAGAAATTGGATTTACTTGAAAATAATCAGGTCGGACGGTACCCTTTACGGTACCTCGGTACCGTGCCGGCGGTACAGTATACCGTCGGTCAATAGGTACCGCTAGAGGGCATTTTATTGACGGTAGAAACCTTACCGTACCGGCGATAGGTGGGTACCGTGTGGACGGTACCTAGCTACCATTCCGGCAGTAGGTTGTTACCATGCACTGTTCATCGTCTTCTTCCTCGGGTCTAATTTCGGAAATTCCATTTTTAGTCACCAAACTTCAATTAAACTATATAGAAATGTTCTCTAATGTTCATATATCATTTTGGTAACATTAGTTCGTAGTTTTAACAATAATTTCAAGGTTTATGATTCTTGGTTCTTCAAACATGTCAAACACAAAACTCAATAATTTCAAGCTTTATGATTCTTGGTTCTTCAAACATGTCAAACACAAAACTCAATAATTTCAAGGTTTATGATTCTTGGTTCTTCAAACATGTCAAACACAAAAATCCTTGCTCCAGCGACTTCGACGGTAACCAATAACAGCAGACTACTCTTTTCACTCTCAGGATTCTTATGGACTAATTTTCAGAAAGAAGGGTGTAGAAATGGAGAAAATGAATTCTCCTTATATAGAATGAAAGAGGAAGAAGCTGCCAAGGATTTCAAGATCGCGGACGGCTCAGTGCGTTAGGCTGCGATTTGGTCCGATTATACACGCTGTTCCTTGATTGGGACTAATCTGGTCCCAGTCGAGGCACATTTCTTGGTCCAACTTTCTCCGAATCGAATTCTGTTTGCACCGTTGCGATCAGACAGTCGAACTCTATTCAACGGTATAATTTTTATATTTATTTGTAATACTTTTTCCGATATCATATTTTTGGGTGTTTGACTGTGACAGAGTCAAAATTGATTTATTTGACGTTTACTAAAAAGGTGCTCATAATAAATTCATATTATTTATTTTCATGATTTATTTCAATAAATCATTTTAAAGTTTACATCATAAACACATTATTCATTTATTACTGATTTTGGGTCTGTACTCAGGTTCCCAACCAGGATTACACAATTAGTCAACATATTGGATTTATCTCTATGAGATTTATCCAGATTAAGATATTGGATATCAAACACATATTATTTCGGCCCAAAGTCCAATAATAAATTATTTTAATCAAAAAAAATTTGATTAATTTATTATTTATTTATTAATAATTCCAGTGTATGTTTTGGGGCGTTACACTAGCCAGGGCAGGGAACCTTCCTAAGTCATTGACCATAGACCTAAGCCTAATTCAGAAGACAGTTACACTACTTGGACAAAATGGGACTAGCAATGCAGACATGGGTGAGTTCAACACGGAAGAGGGAGAGGAATACTTGTCTTGAGAGTTGAACTGAGTCTATGGGTGGTTACCTTTTTTTGAATCTCATACCGAATATATTTCAATTCCTTCTTCACTCGAAATAAGATCAACCATAGTGTCACATCAAACCTGTCATTATCAAGAACGTATCTTGATATATTCCAAAATCGATGAAGAAAGTTGAATACAACAAGACGTAAATGAAATGCCACTCTAATGTTATCACCTGTGGATACGAATTAATGCAAAGACTCATTAACGATAATAAGATCTACCATGAAGTGAACGAAGAAATGTTTCGGCATAAGGTCGATAAATGACAAACTACTGTACAACCAATCGACAGTACCTTCTCATAAATGATGACAAATCTCATATTCTGAAAATCATAAACCAATAAAAGCCATTAGATGCTACTTACAAGTCGTTGCTGAACTGTGAACGATGTGAAAATGTTTTGATGACTTAAAAGATTACGCTATGACACATGAATTAAACAACCTCCAAATCTTCCACTACAACTATCGCGAACTTGAAACTACAAATGCTATAGAAGGACTTTCAATCAAAGAAAGAATGTTATTGACTAATGACGTACAATCGAGACTTGTTAATAAACGAATTGAGGTGCAAATATGTCAAATATGCTCAAAATACAATGTTATACCCTGCAAAGGAACTTGGTTATGAATGTTAAATCTGAACGGGAACATGCAAAAAGGATCATTGGATACCTTGCTTAATCTAAGATTGTTAACCTCTTAAAGAACGAACGAGTTTAATAACATCGATAGTTTGAGAATACATATCCGTGTGGATAATGATGTGATTATGATTTAACCAAATGAACATGACACGATTATGATTAAGTGCGATCACAACAAAATGTTGAACGTTGAGCCTTAGAAGAATTTCGAGGACGAAATTCCTTTTAAGGGGGAGAAATGTAACGCCCCAAAACATACCTTAGAATTATTAATAGATAATTATTAAAATAAATCAAATTTGTTTCGATTAAAATAAATTATTGTAGGCTTTGGGTTGATAAAAATATGTTTTGACATCCAATATCAAAATCTAGATAAGTCTCATAGAGATAAATACAATATGTGGACTATTTGTGTGGTCTTGATTGGGAACCTGAGTATAGATCCAAATCAAGAATAAATGAATAAATTAATTATGATGTGAACTTTGTAATGATTTATTGAAATAAATCATTAGGATAATGGATATGAATTAAATAAAAGAACCTTTTATGAGAAAGGTCAATTAAACCAATTTTGACTTTGTCAAAGTCAAACACCCAAAAAATATGGTGTTAAAAAAAGTATTACAAATAAATATAAAAGTTATATCGTTGGATAGAGTTTAACTGTCTGATCGCAACAGTGCAAACGGAATTCAATTTGGAGAAAATTGGACCAAAAAGTGTACCCCGACTAGAACCAAAATTGGTCCTAATCAGGGAACTGTTTAGACGGCGCCTCCTTTCCCACTACGCCGATAGCAGGATTTGTGAAGGAAACATTCTTGGATTTTCTTCTTCTTCTCTCCATTACATAAGGAAGCCAATTTCCTCATTTCTTCACCATTCTTCCTCAAATTTCTTTCAAAAGTTAGCCTTAAGTGTAAGGAGTGTTGTGGTGCTATCAGTGTGAAATCGTCGGATAATCTTCAAAACCTTCATTTACCTTCGAGGTAAGCCCGTAGACATATCTAATGACCAGAATGTTCATATAGATCGTTTCTACGTTCATAAACGGTCGTTTGGTTGAGTTTTGTGTTTGACATGCTTGAATAACCAAGAGTCATAAACCTTGAAATTGTTGTTAAAATTTCGAATAATGGTATTTAAATAATCTATGAACATTGGAGAACATTTCTATACAGTTTAATGGAAGTTTGGTGGGTAGAAATGATTTTTCGAAAATCTGACCCGAGGTTGAAGAAGAAGTATTATTTGCTGGTTGGCAGGAAAGGTCGACCGTTTTGACAAAAGGTCGACCGTTTTGCCATAAAGGTCGACCATCCCTCCACCAAGGTCGACCGTTCTGAGACCATAAGCTCCCATACAACCGCTACAATAACGGTCGACCGTCACCTGAAAACGGTCGACCGTTCCGAACACAGTTAGCTATGAAAAATGCTATTTTTGAGCTCTAAAATCCTATTTTTGATAGCAATTAATTATGGATAATATAAATATGATTTTGTACAATAAAAATGATATTTTGACATATAAACATTATGTGATGCATGACGGTAAGTTCGAGTGTTAACACTCGATGCTAGGCCGCTATTTGTTGTTGAATGTTATGATGATTGTTTGATTATGGATTGTGATGATGAATATTCTGAATGACGATCATGAATTGTTAAATTGAGAATAATGAATTAATGAATCGTATTGTTAAGGCTACTTAGAAGACCTCTAAGATAGACCTCTGATTAGAATGGGCCTCGCGGGTATAAAACGTATATTCGGTGGCCTTGGGTAAAAACGTACGTACGAGATCCATAAACCAAACTAGAGGAACTCGTTTGGGGATACCACCCAACCCGACAGTTAGTATTCTACTGTTCGGTTTTCTGGATTTGTACTTTAAGCGAAGGCTAGTTTAAGAGTTGGTAAATCAATTGGAATATATGTATCTTAAACTAATGACCTAGCTTAAGAGTTGGATAGAAGTACCTTAAACTGGAATATAGTTTAACTACATTAAACTAGAATTCGTTTAAGAGTTGGTAAATATAAAAAACATTGGCCTTAGACTAAGTATTGTTTAAGGATATTGTTGAATGACAAATGATGAATATTGTATGATGAATGTTGAATAAAACTGCTGAATATGAATATGCATGTTAAATGATTGAATAATGAATTGATTATTGATTATTGAATATCTAAACCAAACATTATGTGCATGATATCAAATGATTTGATTATGAATTGAGATTCTGTTTATATGGATGTTCGACGTATTAGATATGCTTACTCAGCTTTACCGTTGAGCGTGTAGTATGTTTTATTTGCTACACACAGGTTAATGGAAAGAATGATGTGACGTAATTCTGGAAGCAGACAGAGGCGAGATTGTCGGAATGGATGTGATGTTTTGAATTAAAGAACATAAATAAATTATGTTTGTAATTATGATTTGTTAAGCTTCCGCAACATTGAAAACTCCGTACTGTATATGTTATGAAAAATATTATTGTGATAAATAAAAGTGTTTGAAAAGTTTTAAATTTTTACAATTACCAAGTTCAATACTTTAGTCCGAAAGGGGTTGCAGACCTAGACGGATTAGGGTGTTACAGTTTCTCAGACAATGCAAGTTGCAGTCCTCAGAGAATGTGACCAAAGAAGGAATACATGCACACACACTTTAACACTGAATGATACACCTAAACCATTTAAGTGTATGCAATGGTGGTACTTAGAGGTATTTTATGAATTCAAAAAGCTCATCATAGTACTGTATTCTTCTCAGATGCAAATATCAGTCATCATAGAAGTTTGGCAGGCATTATAGGCATGACAGTAGCTTAGCATATTTAAAAAAACATGCTCAACAGAGTATTCACTTACTCATATTTGAATCTGGGGAATTCAGATCATAAAGGCATCAGTGTATAACATACACACACACTTTGACACTGAATGGTACACCTAAACCATTTAAGTGTATGCAATGGTGGTACTCAAAGGCATTTTAAGAATTCAAAATGCTCATCATAGTACTCTATTCTTCTTAGACAGATGCAAATACCAGTCATCATAGGATACATCCAGACACACATTCAACAATCAAAGATTCAAGAAGGCATCACAGTTATTCAAAGTACACACTTAGCATATTTAAAAAAACATGCTCATCATAGTTTAGACTTAATCATCATTGAATTTGGGCAATTAAGATCATGGAGGCATCAATGTATAACATGCACATAGTCTTCTTAACATAATCAAAGGTTCAGAATTCAAGGCATAAATAAACCAGAAACATTTGTAAGGAAAGGAAAGTAACTTCCCTACTTGTATGTTGAGGCCCAAAAGTTTGGATCTGGACTGAGCATTAATGTATTCAGCATGTCTAAGTGGAGGTGCATGCTTGATTTCATCAATGGCAAAGTCGTTTTCTCAAGAATTTCACTGCCAGATTCATCGCTCGCAATAAAAATTACAGAATCCTCCTCATCAACAAGGTTGATTACCACCTTCTTCTCTCTGACTGGGGCAACATCGGCATCGTCGTCGCTGTGGATGACGATCACCTCGTCCTCCTCCTTGGCGTCAGAGATTAATGTTTCGTAAATCAGAGAGGAATCCTCACATCCACCATCTTTAAGATCTGTCTCATAAACAATGGAATCATAGAGATAGTCATGCGATTCCATGAAATGGGGCGCAGATCTACACAATTTGGGGAGGAAGAGGGTAATCTAGGGTTGGGAAGATAGAAGATGGAGCGAGAAATAGATGCGACCAGATGTTAAAGGTGAGAGTGAATGCGAAGTGTTGGGAGGGGGTGGGTAGATAGGATTGGTTTTGGTAGATGTGAGGATATAAAATGAGAGGGGTATTTTAGGGAGATTTGTTATTTAAAAGTATAATGGGAACATCATTCCTGGACGAAAAAAAGGTAGACTCGGAACATCATTCCCGGATGGAGGGAGTAATAAAGTATCAAGGGTTGTTCCAATATTTTGTCTTGCAAAAGGGGGGCGGAAGGGGTACCCCGGGTAAGTAAGAGAATACATGGGCGTAAAAAATTTTTATGCCACCTGCTAAAGATACGGGAGGTAGAAAAGATTATGCATCTCGTCAGCTCACTTCCATTTTATGCCACCTGCTAAAGATAGTTTCTACTAAGCCATGTTTAGCGACCTGTCTCGCCTGTAACTATTCAATATCGCTCACCATCGACTTACGTGATTACCTCTGTGGGCCAATACACCCTCCATGTGGACCATTCCGCTATTTCTTAGTGTTGATTGATGATTCCTCATGATGGTCACTTGTGAGTGTTCTAGCTACAAAAATGTAGCATTTGCGCGGCTTTTAGCCCAAATCACACAATTAAGAGTGCATTTCCCAGAAAATCAAATTAAAAATATTTGCATGGATAATGCAGGAGAATTCCCATCCCAAGCTTTTGATGATTATTGTATGTCAATTGGGATAAATGTTGAACATCTAGTAGCTCATGTTCTTACACGAAATGGTTTAGCTGAATCATTAATTAAAAGATTACAGTTAATTGCTAGACCGCTTCTGATGAGAAGTAAATTGCCACCTTCGACATGGGGGCACGCTGTTTTACACGCTGCTGCACTCATCAGACTAAGACCAACTGTTGATCAAGAATACTCCCCACTTCAACTGGTCTCCGTAAGAGAACCAAATCTAACCCATTTAAAAATATTTGGTTGTGCAATTTAAGTCCCAATATCGCCACCACAACGTACCAAAATGGGACCTCAGACAAGACTGGGCATTTATATTGGTTTTAACTTTGCGTTTATAATTAGATATTTAGAACCATCGACGGGAGATATGTTTACAACACGGTATGCAATACAGCACGTTTTATGTTTTCATCAAACATATCACTAGCGGTTCCGTACGCAATCTGATAAAGCGTGCTGGTACACTTTTGGGCATTGCTAAAACCGCGTCGGCCTCTCGCATCAAACCGTTGGGTGAACATAGACACCCCGTGTTCAATATCATGTAGTATTCTTAAAAACAAAGAACGGCTCATCCAAAAATAATTAGTAAAATCATACGGTTGTAAACACACGGAGTATTGAAGTAGTCCTTGAATAGTGCAGTCGCCCGATCACGGTTTGAACGCTAGTGTCGAGTCGAGTGCATTGACGATTATGCTTCCTCTTGTTGTGCTTGTTGCCACCCCTGGTAACATCCCTTTGAGAAAGAACGAAACATGAGAGCCCTTCTCTCATTGTCAAATGAAGATGATCCATTTTTAAAAAGATATATATATGATATTTTTTGGGTGGGTTGTAGAGAGACTTGAGAATATAAAATACTTTTTGGATGAGTTATAGAAAGATTGAGTGTATGTTTGTATTTTTTGAGAGAGTATTTATAGTTGCAAATTTATTTAAAAAATCCCAATAGCTTGATTTTGGACCGTTGGGAGGGTGTGGGCAATGACTTCTTACTCTTCCTTTCACGCATTAAACGTTTAATGGAATGAAGGTGACACCCTAACAACAACGCACATGGCAGTGTTTAACGCCCTCATCCCGCTCCAGTGCCCTAACCTTCTCACACAAAATATTTTATATTTTATTATTTAAAATAGATTCCATTTGCTATATTAGATATTAATTTGGAATTGTTTGATACAAAATGTGCATTAAAAATAAAAAATAATTATTTCAATCACGGTTTCAAACTCATTTCTAGTGAAACTGTGAAGGTTGAAGCCCAAGTTTGAGACCATGTCTTCGAACCTATTTCGTCTTAATGTATACCTTTGGTCCACCTTCTAACCCTCAATAAATGGGTACCTATATCATACATCTGGATGTACGATATTTTCCGTACATACGCAAGAATACTCATTATCGAGTAATTAGGTACTTATTTTAGAGTAACAAAATACTAATTTTCAAACATAACTAAATTTTAGAAAAATAAGTACTCAATTACTCGAAAATAAATATTTATTTACTCAAAAATGAGCATTCGTTTATTCTCTTCCTAAAAGAGAATAGAAACAAAATAGAACCCGTCCGTACAATATATATTTTGGATAAAGGGCATGTTTGGAAATAACGTTAGATATTAGCGTTAGCGTTTTGGATAAAATTTTAACGTTGTAGATTACTTTGAAAACGCTAACGCTAAACGCTGTCTGTATATAGCCTTTTCAAAACGCTAACTCTAATAGCTAAAGCTCTTCCCAAAGAAGCCCAAACAAAAAATAATCTTTTTCAGTGTATATCCATTGCTCATGCCCTTCTGCAGCCAAACACCTAGCATTTCTAGGGAAAGATGATATCCCTGCATCAATTTCTGCTGCACTTCGCCGCCGCTAGACAATCATCCCGCTCCACCTTTCCTGCCACTGCCTATGAAATCTTAAGAAAACATTGCTTCCCACCCCCCTCCGCATCTTCATATTCAACTTTCAACCGTTCAATTCACTCTTCCAGCTCTCCGTCTCCCTCAGCCTTGTCCTCTTCAAAGCCGCTTAGTGCTGTAGCCTCTGAAAACTCGGAGACAAGTTCTGATGATGATAACAACGGTTGGGATGGTACGCTATTCTTTCTGGCTGTTCTCTCTTGTTTTCTTTTGGGTACAATCACATTGGGTTTCGATACATGATGCTTATTGGGTGGTATTAGTTTATTCTGCATTAGTGGGTGTTATCTTGTCCTTTGTATTAGCTCTCCCGTGGCAAGGAGGATTGAAGTTGAAGGTGTGCTTAATTTTGCTCTTTCATACATAACAGTGCACCGTAGAACAACTTCATAAAAAATGCCATCTCGAGAAATATCATCCTTATTGAGTGGTACTTTTTCTGAAGTTTTGATTGTGAATACAGATCGTATATCACACAATTTGGTACACATGGAAGCTAAGAAACACAATTTTTTCATTGATTTCATTAAACAAGATAGAAACTATTCTCCCAGTGAGGCCTCACATCTGAAATTGGGCTTTACTATTTTTACCCATGTCAGTCGAAAAATGATTTAGAAAGTTTATTAGCTACAGGTAGCTATTGGCAAACCTATAGCCTGCTGTTTTGTTTGGATTTTTCTATACTGAATGCTCTGTTCCATGTACCCCCATGTGCATGATGTTTAAATGGCCTAGTTAACTGGCGAACTAATTTCCTCAGTCAATTTGTATTTCATTGATTTTTGCTTATAATTCTGCTTTTTATTAAGGAAAATTATGTTTGGCTGCAGATGATGTAGATTCAGTTTCGGTTTATTCACCAAACACACCAGCAAATAATGACTACAAGTCTCTGGGAAATGCTCTGGATGTACCATGGGTTTCAAGAATTTCTCGTTTTGATGCAACATCGTGTCTGAAGGAACCTTCACGAGAAAGGAAACAAAAGAAGATGTATAATATTAGTCAAAAGACTCGTTTAGATTGTATGACTAATTTGAGTGACAAGAAAATGGGGTGGGAAGATCCGTATTTGGTGAATTCATCTGAATCACAAGGGATTAGTGATTACAAGTCTCTGAAAAATGTTTTGGGTGCACCACAGCTCTCTAGCATTCCACTTAGTAATGTGTCATTGTTGTGTACAAAGGAAGTTTCTTGTGTACGGGAACACAGATGGGCTTATAGGAGTAGTCAAAAGACTCGTCTAGGTGGCTTAATGGATATGTCTGCCAAGAAAACAGAGATGGAAGATTCAGGCTCAGTCAAGTCATGTGAGTCACAAATGACTACTGTTGACACATCGCATGAAATCTTTTGGGGCGTACCACGGATCTCTAGCAAATCACATGATAATGTAGCATTGTATCGAAAGGAAGTTTCACAAGAAAGAAAACACAAATGGACTTGTAAAAATAGTCAAAAGACTCGTCTTGATAGCTTAATTGGCTTATGTGCGAAGCAAATGGGGACGGATGTTACAAATCTTGTGTTTGGTAAACTGAGGAGAAAGACTAGTCTGAAAGAGTATAATACAATAATAAATCTTTGTGTTGAAGAAGCAAGGAAGATGGGTACTGTAGAGGAGTCGATGGATCAACTTTCCAAAGCTTATACATGCCTAAAAGTGATAAAGGAGTGTGGGTTCCAATTAAAAGAAGAGTCTTATGGTCCAATTCTTATGTTTTTCATTGATTTTTGCATGGTTCCTGAGTTCCAATTTTTCTCTGAAATCATTAGAGATGGGAATATGGTTTCTCTCCCGAAATTAGCTTACTATGAAATGTTGCTATGGATAAAAATTGATAATCAAGATAAAATAGATGAGCTCATCAGTTCTCTTGCCCTTCATCACGGTGAAGACAAATATGCTTTTCAAGGTTTGAAACTTAACTGTGGCTCCATAGCTCATTTTGAATAAGTTTACATATTTTGGTTATTTGAGCTAAATTATTCATCTTAAACATAACATTTCAAACTTACCAAATTAGGTATGGAGTTTTTGTCAAATTTTTATTTGAATGTGTGTTCCTTCTTTATTCATTCACAGGCTTGATAATGACTGTTGTGTACTTGCATAGTTGCATTTCTTACATTCTGATTCCATACCCTTTAGTACTTACTTGTGTGCCTGCACACGTATGCATTAGGAGGTGGGAGGAGGGGATGCTATTACCTACTACATTATATTTAGTAAGGACTATTAGACTGAAATGGTGATTGCATGTAATGAAACGTGTTTGGTTAAATCAATTTTAGCCAAACATGTCAAAGGCCACTTATTTTGATTATTTCACTAGTCAGAAAATGTCTATTAGTGCTACAAAACTGGGCCTTAGTATGAATATACAGTTGCATCTTTCATTAATTTTTTTATTAATAAATTTGAAGTTTTTAAACCCACAATGAAGTAGTGTAATTTTAATCTGCATGATATGCTTACAAGGTACTATTTTCTCATAGTTTTATATGTTAATAAATGAGCTAGTTATGCGTAAGAATCAGATGCATTTCATACTTAAGTTCTAGAGATGACATGATTGATACAGTTTCTTTCTTAACTGTTAAACATCATTCTAAACTATCTGTAAACTTTCTTCATTTTGGCTCTATCTTTTGATATATGGGCAATAGTAAAAACCACTTATGCACCTTAAAATTTCAAAAATGTTGCAGAGAATTATTTGCTTGCATTGTGTAATAGCAACCGAAAACCGGAGTGCCTGAGGCTATTAAAAAGTACTGACGTAACTAAAGCTTCATCCTTGAAAACCCTATCTTCTATCTTCAGCTCACTGGGAAAGTTAATGCTGGAGAAGTTTGCAGAGAAATGCTTTCTGGATCTGAAGAAGACAGGTACACCGTACCATATTATTCTGCTTGAAGTGGTGTTCATGAAAACATTCCCAAATTTATATGTGAGGAGTAGAAGAATACTATTACTTAGATTCATAGAGAAAATAGAAGCAGGATCATGTAAAAAATTGTATGTAGCGCTTGGAACTAAAAAAGTCTAAATTTTATTTTTATTAACGTAATACACATGCCTAAAGTTGAAAGACCAACCCATAAAAATTAAACCTAGAAGTGTATTACTCATTTACTTCTCTTCCACTTCTCTCCTCTGAGTTGATCCCATCCGATTCTAATTGTCAGCAGCACATGATGTAAGTACTGAGTAGATTCCAAATTTTCCATAAATGGTGTGGGAGAAGGAATACTATGGCAAATGGAATCATAAAATATTTCATGTAAGGTGCAAAATTTGAAAAGAGATGTATTGCATGCATGAGACATTTTCCCCTCAAGGCATAGGCATATTGAGACGTAAACCTCAAATTCTAAAGCATCTTAGTCATAGTTATCACGGCGTCAAGTTGAGGCACGACGCTAGGATACCGCCAGGACGCGTAGTTGACTAGGTGACCGCCTAGGTGACACATAATTTAGGAGAATTGCTATACATTAAAAACACTAATACAAATATATCAAATTATATATTGTAGTTGATAAAGTTTAAATTTTTCTAATACATCAAAGTTAACTACCAAAGTTACTTTTTGGTACTTTTCTCAACAAAAAAACCAAAGTTCAAAAAAAAGTTTTACCGATTTAAAATGCAAATAAATCAATCGTATAAACCTTAGAAAAATTAAGCATCAAATATTAATTAGGAAGATAAAGTAGAAAAAAACATTCAATTGGAAATAAACTAATTTATAAAGCATTAAAAAAAGCACTGGAGCTGGGGGTATAAAACACTTAAAAAAGCACTAGAGTAAAAAAAAGTACTGGACAAGGTGAGTCTAAGGCGATGCCCAGGTGAGGCCAAGGCGAGGTATGCAAAATAAGGCGAGACAAACTCCAATGGCAAGAGTAGATTGGCACCAAGATGCCTAGGTGACGCCGTAATAACTATGATCTTAGTACAACAACAACAACCCAATTGAATCCTACAATAGTAGGGTCTGGGAAGGGTGTGTGTACGCAAGACCTTACCCCTACTTGAAAGTAGAGACACTGTTTCTGAAGAGACCCGTGACTCAGCGTCGAACGTTGCATTGATTGACTAACTGCTACTTAATTAAAAAAGAAGGGTGGACAATTCAAAGATCTATTTTAGTACCAAAAGTGATCTTATTCTTTTTAACCCATGGGTCTCAGTTGTAAGGCCTTGAAAAGAATGAGAACTTATAACAAATCTGCCACGTATCTTGATTCATATTTGTCTTATATTTTTTCTCTTTTGCTGTTTGAGTGTTTTATATACAACTTGAGGCAATACCTTGTAGTATTTTGTAAATGGGTTATATATAGGAAATTTGGTGAGAAACCACATTTTATGTTTTGAATTTTAAGAAACCACCTTTAATACAATTTTTTAATTAAGCATCTTTTATGTTTGGCTTCTTTTAAAGAGTACCTTTTTAACAAATGTTGTTAAGAAACCATCTTGTATGTTGAGTTTTGTGTTGCAAAACGACCTTTTAAAATAATTAATTTTTAACAATCCACCCTTTATGTTACATGCATTGTATTATTTTTTGAAAAGGTTGTTTAGAAAAAAATAAAAGGTGGTTTCTTTAAAAAAGTTAAAAAGCAAAAGGTGGTTGGTGGCAAAAATTTCCTTTTTATTTTATAATTTTAGTAATATATGTTACAATGTTTTTGAACTAGAAGAGTGAGACTTATGCCTCAATATGCCTTGAGGCTTACGTCTTGAAGGGATAAAACCTCACGTATGCCTTTTCGGCCTTTGCCCCTCTATGATTAGTCTTGGTATAAATGGGAAGAGATATATTTCCATCTCTTGAATATATAGATGAGTTTTATATGCAGAACCTCCTTCACGCTATTTGTGGAATATTTTAAAACAGAGTGTCTTCGTTTTCACACACCAAACATGGAATATTTTATGAATTCTATTCACTATAGTATTCCTTCTTCCATGTCATTTATGGAAAAATTAGTGGACTCTGCACACATCGGATCATCCCCCCTTCAATTTTGTTTGATCTTCATTTCCTTCACACCTTCAAGACTCCAGCTTCAACCTTCAATGGAGAGGAAATGCAAAAATCCTAGTGGAATCCTTTCACTAACTCATCATCTTCTTCAATACCATAAGGTAAATTATAGTCTCAGCATTCCTCTTTATTGTTTTTTGTTGTTTCATACTTTTAATTTGTTTTTTAGTTTTATTTTTCATGTTGTTTTGTAATTCAGGTTGTTTGCTCAAGTTTTTTATTCTTTAAGTTTTGTCGCTGCACTCTGATCCAAAATTATCGGTCACCACATTGCCTATGTCGCAGCAACCATCCCTCACTCCGATTGGATCAGTTGGATCCACGGCGGAGCCGCCACCCCTGGCAGCGTCATGCCATTAAAGAATAGGAATAAATATTTCATATCTAGTACTCCATATTTTTTTATTTTTAAATTAAATCTTGAGATTTTATCAAAAGGTATTGCTGACCATCAGTATTGCCCATTGGAAGAAGAAAGGAAAGAACAAGCAAAATTGCAGAAACCCTCCGATCTATGATTCCCAACGTGCTCAAAATTTTAGATTTCCTTCATTTCCCTTCTCAAGCATCTTCATGGAACTAGGTCTTTGACAAAGAAGAAATGGTCAAAGCTCAAGAAATGTCCTAATTTGAAAAGAGTAAAATCACATATGAGTGAGCGCGAAGCTAAAGAGACAAGATCAAATTATATCTGCTTCTCTCTATCTCGATCTCCTTCGTAAAGTAGTAGCAGCCCAACACAATTTAGTTGAAGAAAACTCAAATTTCTTGAATAGTGTAGCATGCAATCTCCATTCGTCTCTTCTCAAAGATGACAAGGAGAGATGAAGGGATGTGAAGAGTAAAAGGAGAGATAATTAAGATGCAAAGGAAATTTGAGAGGAAGCCAACTGGCCAAGAGAGAGAAATGAAGAGTAATTAGCGAGGAGGATAGGATGGAGAGTGGAGACACGATAGAGCTTTAAGCCATTTATGGAAATGGAAAGATAATTTTAGGACATCTCGAAAAGGAAAATGAGAAGACAATTTTAGGATAGAGGGAGTATAAGAACTCTTGAACACCCACAAGGGTGCATTCTTTTTATCCAAAATCAGTTTGTTACACTTTTAATTGGGTGATCTTTTTCTTTTTAAAATGTAGTTTAATTATTTTTATTGCTTTATTCACATCATTCTTTTGTACATTGTTCGAGTGAGTACTGTGTGACTTTGCGTGCATTTTCTTTCTATCTCTTTTTTAATTCTTTTTGCTTAATAATATCAGCCTTTCTTTTTTTGCTTATTAATTTTAGCTAATCCGTTTGATATTCAGTGCGCATAGATTTCTTGGCTCTGCCATTGATTTTATGAATTGCTTTTTGGAAATTTGTTAATTAATATGTTGCCTTTTCCTTCTATTAGGTGCTTGGATTTTTGTGTGACTAATGTGTTCTTAAATGTTGGATATTTTATGTACATAAATTCTTAGTACTTTTAAAATATTTCTTGAGAGATTGCTTAAATGTCAAACCCAAGGGTGAAATGAACATTTTTTTATCAAATTTGAGGAAAACAATGGATGAACTGCAACATTTTTATCCTAAATTTAAGCCTTTATAAACCAGTGAACTTTTTCTCTATTCGTTAAATTAAGTTTATCACATTTAGTCAATATTTTGAATTGTTTCATGCTAAACTTTGTTGCATTTGAGACCTTTTACTTTCTCTATATACTTTTTAAATGTTTTTGGATTAATTATGTTATTACCAATGTTCTTTCTTTAATCGTGATAGTATTTTATGCTCATGTTGGTAGTTGATACTTTAAGATGAGGCTTACGCTTTGAGGGATATGCAATACGCCAACGAAAACATGCCTCATAATTGCAATATCATTTCAAACATTGCTTTTGTATAACTATCCGGTTGTCTAGGGAGGGCGTGTGTATGCACACCTTACCCCTACTTAGAAGTAGGGAGGCTATTTCCAAGAGACTCTAGCTCGAGTAACACATGCATTATATTAAGCATCGAAAGCAGAGAGCAAACTAAGCTTACCAAAGGGAAAAAGCACCAAGCAAAGAAAACTCAGATCACAAGTGTAAAAACAACCACCAAACCCAAAAGCCTACTCGACTACCCTAGTTTTCGTTCTCCACACGTTCCTATTTAAGGTTATATCTTCTGTAAATGCCAGGAGTCTTAGGTCTTAAGTAGTCACCTCCTTTAAATTCTTCCTATATCTACCCCTGCCCCTGCACCCGCCCACCACCATAAGTAGGGTTGTAAAGTAGTCACCTCCTTTAAATTCTTCCTAGATCTACCCCTGCCCTTGCACCCGCCCACCACCATAAGTAGGGTTGTAAACGGATAATATCCGCGATAAATATGGCATATCCGAATCCAAATCCGATTAAGTTTTTGGATATCCAAATCCAAATCAGTATCCGTATGTGACAGATATTTACATTTCTATATCCAAATCTGTAACCGACGGATAATTCCCAATTTCAGATATATCTGGATCCGATTACATATCCAAAACCAACCAAATATTCGAATCCAACTGAATATCAATGTTTTCAAACCCAGATAAAACCGGACGACCCAACCGACCGAACCATGACCGTAGATCGGATTGACCCGACCAGGCAGGTTATAGACCGAAACCACTTTTTTTCAACTTTGACAAACAAAAATGTAAGATTGGGGTAGAGGGGTTTGAACCCAACACCTCTAACCTTAAAATTCAAAGTTGTAGCCATCTCAGCTAAATCAAACCCTAAATATATGTAAGCAGTACATAATATATATATTTGTTTCTTAATAGATGCCGCACTCTAATTTTTT